GATAAATGGACCAGAAAGATGCCTTTCTGACCCGTCTCTTTACCTGAGGATCTCTGAAGACAGACACGCACATGCGCATGCACACACACTCACACGCCACTTCTTCAACAAGAGAAAACAAGGCCCCATGCTTATCACTGGCTGCACAGGAGATGCTGGCTCTCCTGGGAAGCTTCCAGTCCCCTGCTTCTGCCCACTTGAGACCCCCAGTTCGGTGATGTGCTGGGAAACGCCTGGTATCCAGAGCAGAGAGACCAGAGTGTTCGCTCACTAAGCCAGTGGCTTTCGTGCCTCATCTCTCTGGCTCAGACTGACCTGGTTCTCACAAAGGTCCTTCTGGGGTGAAGTTTTATGACTCAAAGAACTGTCCCACCAGAGCCCTGTCTGAAGCAGCGTCTTGAAACGCAAGGAGTGTTGGGATGTCTCAGAGACCCCGGCCGACCCTCCTCTGACCTTGAACAGAAGCCCTAAGGGGGGCTTTCCTGGGTCTGGTCCCTCCTCTGTCCTTGCATGTTTAGCTGTTTGGGGAACACTTCTGTGGGGATGGGTGGCCCTCCAGATGGTCAGAGAGGAAGCCGGGGATCAGATTCTGAGTTTCAGGGCTTCCATCTGTCTGCGTGGAACATCCCCACTGTCCTGCAGCCTCCCCACGCACGGCTTCCCGCCACCCCCCCGGGCCTCCTGTTCCCACGGGCAGATGCCTCTTCCCAGCTGGCCAGCTGTCAAGCAATGATAACGTGACCCGGGCCAGGTGGCACCTGTCGACATCAGCCGCCACAGTGCCATGACAGGAAGCAGCCACACACGTGTGCACGTGCGTCAGGAGCGGCGCCCCATCGCGTGGCACCCGGGGTCTGTCCCCATCCTCCCGTCCCATTAGCCCTTGGGGCTCCACGCCCCCACACCGATGCCGTCAGCACAGCACCCACCTGCGTCCCCAAACCTCCTCCAGAGGGCGGCCCCCCAGCGTTCTTGCTGAAAAGGCCCACGGAACGTTCTCAGCACCAGCAGGCTGTGGGGGCTTAATAAGAGTAATCGTCATTGTCACCGCACACCTCCGAACGGTTCCTAAAGTGCCCGTGGGAGGGGCAGGGAGGTTTTTTGGTCGCAGCTACAATAGGCACCTGCTGGAAGGAATGAATCACCTGGACGCCCCAAGCTGGTTACCAGGTGAGGGGAGGTGGGCAGCTTCCAGGAGGGCCAGAAGTTGGCCTCAGGGATGGGGCGGGGCCTGGCCCCCTGAAGGACAGCCTGGGCCTCCCGGTAAGGCTGCACTTAGAGGTAGATCTCACCCATGCTCTCCCAGACAAGAACGGGTCTGTTCCTAGAGAAGGGTCGTGTCCAGGACCAAGACGGAGGAGACAATGGTCAGACCCATGACTCTCTGCAGTGCGGCCCTTGCTCAGGACTCCAGGCCCACCTGGAGCTCTGGTCCCTCTGCTCCAGCATCAAGGTGGCTCCTGTTTGCCAGCTGAGCATTTTACACATGTGGTCTCACTGACCCCACCAGGTGGAGCCTGCAGTTACCTGCCGCTCAGCGTCGTTAGGTGGTCTCCAGAGCTGATGGCAGGAGGCAGCCTGCGGGTGTGGACAGCCAGGATTTGCACTTGGGCAGCCTGATTCCAGAGCTCAGGCCCAGACGACTACGCTCTGCTGATGCCCAGACCCAGGAGAGGAAATGGTGCCTGGCTGATGCTGGCCAGGGCCAGGCGGAAGGCTCAAGTCTCAGGGGGCAGGGGGACGGGGCCTCAGAAAATGAAGCCACATTGTCAGCGCCCACACTCCCCAGCCAGCGCAGAGGGCGGGTGACGTGGCCAAGGCCGGTCCCTGCAGTGGGGTTTCAGTAACCTGAGTAGCCGCAGGGTGGAAAGTGTCCGCCCCTCCTGCCCCGGTGACTCAGAGAGGATTGCTCAGAGCACTGGCTCTGGTCTTGGGACCTCCTGCGGGTCAAGGATAGAATGTGGGGGCCCTCAGGCCACTACTGGGGAGTTCAGTAGGGGGTGGTCAGAGACTGGCCCTGGTGTGCGAGGGGAGAGCAAGGGGGCACACGCAGAGAGACAAGGGGCCACCAGGGGACAAAGCACAGGGGTCCCCAGGGGCCCCAGCCATGGCATCCAGGCAAGTTGGGAGGGGGGGGAGCGGCACAGCATAGTCTCAGCTGCCAGGCCACACAGACGCAGGGAGCCTGGGTGACTGACATCCTGGCATCAGGGCCAGTGATCCCCAGAGGCCCACCCCTGATGGCCCTGCTGGCAGGCAGAGTTCGTCCGTTCATCCATTCATCTAAGATTTACTGAACACCTACCAATGTGACAGGCACTGTCCTCAGCTTTAGAGTTTCAGCTGTAAACAAGACAAGCATGGTCTGTGCTCTTGTCGAGCCTCCTAATGGGGGAGGGGGACAGAGACGGGCTCCATAGCATGGCCTGCCCTGGGGGGGCAATGGTTGACTTGAAATTGACCTATGCCCCCACCAGCTGCTGCCTCTCTGGGCTCTGGCCCCACCCCTTAGCAGCAGGCACCCACCCACAGTCCTTGCGGGCTATGTGACCCGGGACCAGTGCCTCCACCTCTCCATGTCTGTCTCCTCATCTGGGAGGTGGGGACCCCCGTGCCCTAGTCCAGGCAGGACTCTAGACCCACCTAGGCTTGGCCTTGGCCCCTCCTGGAACGCCCTTCCTGCCACCCCATGCCCTGGGCCACCCTGTCCTCACACAGCCCCTTGGGCTGGGGCCCAGGACCCAGCAGGGAGGCCAGGAAGGGCTGCCCGAAGAGAGGCCACAGGGGGAGAAGGCAAGGGCTGAGGGGCGCACAGGGGAGCTGCTCGGCGCCCTCCCCGGGGATGGGGTCTCCTGCTCCCACTCAGGAAACATCGTGGGGTGGCCCCAGCTCACATGTCCTGGAAACTGGGTGTGGGACAATGGGAGCGGGGAGGTGACGGCAAGAGGATGTAATCAGACTCCGGTGTCCCCGACACCTTATCCTCTGTTGAGCCAGGCAGAGGTAGGCAAGCGGGAAACATGAGCTGTGAAAGGACACTGGCAGGAAGAGGGGAATGGAGAGGAGAAACGGAGTGTGCGTGTGTGTCTGTTCTGTAGGTCTCTGTGCACCTGTTTTCTTGTCTGTGTGTCCGTGTCTATGCGTGTTGATGTGTCTATAGGTCTGCCTGTGTGAGTGTGTGTGTGTGTGTGTCTGTATATACAAGCATCATGGGTGTTTATGTGAAGATCTGTGTGTGCGCATTTGTTTGCCTTTCCATATGTCTCTGTGTGTGGTTGTGTTACTGAGTCTGTGTGTCTTTGTCTGTTGGCACTTATGTGCCTGTGTGTGTTTGTATGTGCGTGTCCTCAGGGGTCTGTGTGTATCTTTATTGTATTTGTGTGTACTTTTGTGCATGTGTGACTGTGGGCGGGAGGGGCTGGTCAGTCTCCCACCCTCTCCGCCACCTCACTCTGGCCAGGCCAAGGATGGGGCCCAATTCAGTGGGCAAGGGTCCGGTTTGGTGACACACCCCTAAAGTTGGGGGCCATGGACCAGCAGGCCGCCACCCACAGTCTGTGGGACTGTCACTGGGTCCTGAGTCTGGCTGGCTTTGCAGCCGAGAGACTTTATGTCCCCGACTCCCCTCCTCCGATGTGGGAGCCAGCTGGAGCCACCCACATCCCACATGGAGCCCCAGCCAGGCCGTGGACAGCCCCCGGGCCTGCCGCTCAAGACTTCTGGGTACAGCCGGGCCCCGGGACCAGCAGAGCTGCTCCAGAGACACCCACTGGGAAGCAGGAGTGGAAAGGTGGGTGGGGGACCAGCTGCTGGACCACTGAGTCCTCCCCTCTGAATGCCAGTCTGGGCTGCTGCTGTCCTTCTGACCTGTTATGACCTCAAGCAGCTCAAGCACCCTCTCTAGGTCCAGGTTTCTCATTTATAAAATAAGGGGCTGGTGCTAGCAAGACCACAGCATACAGTTGTATAGCTGTGCACTGCACAAATGCACCTGTTGGAGGTGACAGAAGGCCCAGAGAGGCAGCCCGGATTCTGCCCTGTAGGCTGAGGGCCCTGGTGTCAGGCTGCAGCACCTGGAGGGAGGGACGCCCTTTTCTTCCCACAGGAAGTTTGCTCTTTTAGTCCTGTGCTCATGTGGGGCGTCCGTCTAGGGGGCACCTTGTTCTAATTCTCATGAAGGGGCTGCACTGAGGCAGCAGCCTTTTCAGCAAGCTCCCACCTCTCCCTGTGTTGGTGTCCGGGTGTCCATCCACTGAGGACCCCCCTCCATCCGTCTCTGGAGGGACACCTCTGTGACTCTTCCTGCCCCACTGCCCTCCCCCCTCCCTTAAACCATCCAAGGTGGGACCCAGCAGGGCCCCTGAATCCCTGCCCCGATCCCCTGCTCCACTTTATAGACCAGGTACTGAGGCCAGTCGAGCCCCCTCCCACACACCCCTGCCTCCCCCTTCTTCTCTGGCCCGCCTGCTCCCTCCCTTCCACACTTGACTGAGCACTTAGCACAGACCCCTTGCCAGGAGTGGAAACTGAGTCTCAGTAGTGAAGTGCCTTGTCCGTGGTGTCACGGTGAGTCCAACCAGGCCTCCCGGAATCCAAGTCTGGCCTCACCCCTCCACCCCTGCACTCCCACCCTCATCCCTCCTTTTCCCAGCCACCACTGACAGTGACAGACACATGGCTCCGCCTCACTGCTCTTTATTTCATTAGGAAAGTAGTTGGTGGAGTCCCAACGGGGGTTGGGGTGGGAACAGCCACAGGAGCCGGCTCCTGTCCCATTAGGTTGGCCAACCTGTGGGGAACGTACAAGAGGAGTGGTGGTCTGTGTGCTCTCCTGCCCCCAGGAGGCCACTGATCTACCACCCCCGACTCTGGGGCTGGGGTCCCCAGGCAGCGCTTCCTTGACCCAGGGTTTGGGAGGTCGGGCAGGCCCACGATGGCCACCCCGCACAGGGAACAGGTGTGTGGGGGGGGTCCCCCAGCCCCTTACCCAGGCCTCAGGCTCAGCTGGGGGTGGTGCAGCGGCTGCTGTGAGGTGTGGCTGGCTCGGCAGAGGGGGTCGGCTGAGATCAGGGTTCTGCAGGGAGGGAGGGGGCGCAGATGAGAGAAGGATGGGGCGGCGAGCCCTCTCCAAGTCTGCCCTCTCCGGCTGCCAGCGCTCAGTCAGGGCAGCCAAGCCACAAACATTCTTTGCCTGCCAACTCGGGGCCGGCATGGGAACAAATGTGATTTTTGAGGAATTGAATTGAGCAGAAAGGAGTCATGGTGAGGCAGAACCACAGTCCATTCAGCTTAGGTCCCCACCCCGGCCATGCAGCCTGGCGGGGAGCAGGTGTGCAGCTGGCCTCTGGGAAGTTTGTCAAATGCCTGGGAACAAGGGGCAGGGAGGAGGGGAGCTGAGCAAAGGGAGAGGTCGCTGGGGAGAGGAAGGAGGAGCCCTGTGGGCAGGAGAAGGGATGAACAAGCCACAAAGAGGAAAAGGGGCCTCTCAGACGGACAGGCACACAAGGGAGGGAGAGAGGCTGCAGAAAGGCCTGGAGGTGGCAAAGGACAGAGCCGAGCGGGAGGGCGGGAGGGCGGGATGGCTACCTTCCCACATAGGGGTGCTGGCGCCGCAGGCTCTCCGTGGGGGTGGGTGTGGCCTCCACGCGGGTGGCCGACTGGTTGAGGGTGTAGCCTCCTGGCTTCTGGGGCTGGATGCCACCTCGAGTCCAGCCTTCACAGTCTCGACCCTTGGGGATGTTCTCGAAGTACCTACAGCACAGGAGGGGTTGGGGGCCAGAAGCTGGCCTCTGCACCCCTCTGCAGCCTCTTGCTCTTCTCCAGCCGGAATCTCGGCTCCAGCAGAGTGCACTCTGCCTCCGATCCCTCTGGCCTCCTCGCCTTAGCCCATGCCGTGCCCTCTGCCTGGCACTCCGCAAGCCCCCATCCACTTGGGGAGCTCTGGCTCGGGGAGCCTGCCCTCCCTCTGCCCCTGAGCCAGAGGCCCCTCCTTGTGCCGCCCCCAGCGCCCAGATGCTGAGAAAGCACTTGGGAGTGGACAGGACTGTTTAAGTGATGTCTCTGACCCCGGCTTGGGAGCCTCTTGGGGCTGGGGACCCTGTCTTATCCATTCCTCTCCAGGCATTCAACTTTTCTTCCATTTCGTCACTATTCACTGAGCACCAGGCCGGGTTCTGAAGGTACCAAGGTGAGCGAGATGCGGGCCCCGCCCTTGAGCTTATGAAGAGAAGGTGCCAATAGATGAACGTGGAAATCGGTGATTCCAACCCCTGGGGGCTCTGGGTGCACCAGGCAGGAGCTCAGGAAGTGCTGGTGGGCAGGGAAAGGATCCAGCAGAGACAGCTGGGCCTGGGGGTCCGCCTGCCTAGGAAGGGGCAGGGACACACTGGTCCCCCTAGGCCCAGAGGGAGCCTCTGCCCCTTCCCCTCACCCTCTGAGGGGACTGGAGCAGCCACAGGTGTCAAGGATCTGCTGTGCAGTCAGGCACCACATCTGTCCCTAAGGATGGGGCACAGGGGCACCTTGGGACACCAAGGACTTGGGGGGACAATGTGGACACAGATGACAGATGCTGTGAGGGGAGGTTTTGTCTGAAGAATTACACTCCTTTATCCCACTCCTGTGAAGCCCTCCCCAACCAGTCCTGGCCCCGGGAACCCTCTCCACAGCTCTAGGGCCACTTCCTCCTGGGAGCCCTCCCTGATGCTCCTGACACTCACTCTTTGCCCAGGGCTCACACAGCACAGAGCTTATCTCCTGAGGCAACATGGAGCCCACGTGCCATTGGACTGGATGTAGTGTCTTAGCAGATGCCATAGTTGCTCCACCCAGACCCCCTTGGACCCCCTTATTCTTCCCCTGCCCACCAGCCTGGCTGCCAATGGCCTGCACTGCATCTCTGGGAAGGCTGCCCTAGGGCTGCAGGAACTTGCTTTGCCTGAGCAAGGAGGTACCTAGCATTGACACTGCCCCTGGGGACAGCCCTAAACCAACCACCCAAGGATGTGGGGGTATGAATACCCCAGCTCCCTCGCCCCTTGGCTGGGATAATTCTGAATTGTGTGTTTCGCAGTTTCTAGACTCTCCCAGCGGGATGTCTAGCTTAATAGCACGCCTGTGATTGGCTACCTCCCCTTCCCCATCCCCCTTCCCCACTCTCCCACACCCCCCAACCCAATAAAGGGCTTGTGCTCAAATCCTTGGCTCAGGGTCTGCTTCTGGGGGAACCTACATTAATTCCGTGTCGGCCTTCGCAAGGCTGTGAGCTCATCACTGGTTCCAGTCTCAGTCTCCCTGTCTGTGAAATGGGCTCCAGCATCACAGCCCCGGACTCGGGCAGGGAAGGGGGCTCACCTTTGGTTGTAGGCGTTGAGGTAGCGATTATCCACGCCTGGGTCGTAGGGGCTGCGGACATAGCTCGGACTGTTAAGGCTGAACCCTGTGGGCTCCTGCATGAGAGAGAAGAGAGAGAGAGTGGGGACTCGTCAGTTCAGAGAAGGTGGGGATTTGGGGGTGGCGGCTGGGTACCCCAGGCCTCACCTTGTTCCCCACGGTCTCCTGGCCCAGCAGGGAGACATTTGTCTGTTGCATCCGCTGCGGCGGCTGGAATTGCCGGGTCATGCTGCTGGGTTCTGGGCTGGGAGGGGGCACCTGCAGGGGACAGAGCCACAGGCAGGGTGGCTGGGTGGTCAGGGTGAAGCAGCAGGGAGGGAGGGCGGGCGGGCAGAGGCACACACAGCCCCAACCTGCCCCCAGCCCCAGGACCCGTCCTTCCCCCTCCAGCCACTCGAAACTCACTGTTTCAAACACTCTCCTCCGTTTCCAGCCCCTGGGCCTTTACCCTCCATCGAAAGGGGTCCCCAAACACCCTGATTCTTCCCATCCTTCAGTGCCTGGCCCAAAGGCCACCATATTCAAGAAACCTCCTTGACTCTCCGCTTGTCTGAGGGAGCCCCCCACGGCCACTCACTCTGGGGTTCAGAGTCCTCTCATTCCCTCGGCTGAAGCTCTTCTCCCACTCGGAGCCTCTGGTCAGCGTGGGCAGCAACTCATCGCCCTAAGACAGCAAAGCAGCCACTGTCACCGCAGCACGGCTGCCCGCCACGGCCTTCTGGCACAGTGTCCCAACCACCCCCCAGGAGGACCCCAGCCCTCCCCAGCTCAGCTTACATGAGGGTAGGTCATGGGGAGAAAGTCCGACTTGGTGACACTCCGGCTGGGGAGGAGGACCTGGAATGAGGCCAGCAGAGGAGCTTCAGCTGGGCAGAAGGGGTCGCCCCCTTGTCCTGAGCTCAGAGAGGGACAGGTGGGTGTAATTGGGGTAATGAGGAAAGGGAAGAGTTAGGGGAGAAAAGAGGGGAGGACCCGACGCTGAGTGGGAGCCAGCAGGCCGGGTTCTTGTCTGGGCTCCGAGTGACCTTGGCTAGGCCACTTCTCCTCTTTGGCCCTCGGGGTTCTCATCCGTAAGGTGGGGGAGTTGGACCGAAGCAGGGGTGGTCGCCCAAGCTCCCTCCTCTTGTGTTTGAACAAAGGGTTCTGCCGCTCACTTTTTGTAAAAAGCTAGAAATCCCCAGAGCGGACGGCTTCGATGACCCTGAGAGTCCAGTGGGGCCCAGCCTGCCTTACCGGGTCCCCGGGCAGGGCCTGGGAGGGCGGCTGGAAGACAATGGGGCTCCTGGTGGACTCCTTGGTGAAGCCGGTCTCCTCCTTGGCTCCAATGGATCTCCTCTGCAACAGGTCTGCAGGAACAGCCCCCTTGTGCTGCCCCCTGGCCACCCGGCCCCACCCACGGGGCCCCCAGAAGCTCAGTGTCCCAGGACCAGGGGAGAGAGCTGGCTCCGGGGATCCGAAGGCCTGAGCCACCAGGATGGTGGACACCAGGAGGACTCCAGACTCCAGGGCCCAGAGTGAGAGAGGAGGGCAGAAGGAAGGGCAGGGCCGACGGGCCAGGAGGCGGACTGGACTTAGTCCTTAGTCCAGGGTCCCCGGGGGTCTCTCCTAGGTCGGGAGTAGGGAGGTGTGGTGGGAGGGAGGCATGAACTCTGACAAGCACCCACCTGGCTCCTGAGAAGGCTCCTTGAGATACTTTGAGTTATACTCAGAAGTCATGAAGTGCGGGCCCTGGAACACGGAGGGTGGAGCAATGGGGCCACACGGGAGACCAGAGCCCCGAAGGTGGTCAGTGATGGTGGCGGCTCTTGGGTATCCGCGCTCTGAGTAGAGCTGTGCGGTATAGCTGAGAAGGGAGGGCTGGGGCAGCACCCCTGACACAAATCTCTCTCTGATGGGGCATCACAGTGCCAGCAATCCCAGCTGGAGAGCACAGCTCTCCTGTGACCAGGAAAACTTAGTCACGTCCCACACTGGACTCCTAGTAACGAACAACAGGGCTCAGAGCCCCCGGGACCAAGGCCGGAGGGGACCCAAAGAGAGGAGAGAGGCTGATGGAAGAAAATGGGTGCTCCCTTCACAATCCACTGCTTGGGCGTCCGGATGGGGGAGGGGAGAGAAGGGAGCATGGGTGTTAATCCTAAGACGGGCGTGACGACCCCTTTGATGCTGTCTTGGAAATCCCAAATATCACAGCCTTTGCTCTCCCCAGTTTTTCTTGGTGCCCTGAGCTTCTTGGGTGAGTCTCCCTCTGGTCTCCAGGAGGGAGAAGCAGGGGGTCTGGCCCCTCTGCCCAGCCCACAGCCCTTACTGGGGCCCACCCACTCACGTATCGTGCATTCTCCCACTCCAGGGAGCCCCTGTCCTGCTGCTGGTGGAGCAGGGGCACTTTCCTGGGCTCCAGCCCGGTGATGGCCTGGGGCCTGTAGTCCGGGGTGTCAAAATGGACCTTCCTGACCTGGGAGGAGGGAGTGGCCAATTACCCCTCCAGGTGAGGGAGGGCAGCCACTCCCTGACTCTGATTCAGCCCTTAACCCCTACAGAGTGTCTTCACAGCAGCCTGAGGGGGCCCTTTACCCTGAAGTCAGGTCACGTCCCTCCTCTCTCCAAGCTCTGGAGTATTCTCATCACACTCAGAGTAGAAACCCACATCCTGACAGCAGTCCACAGGACCTCGGCTCCTCAGTCGGCTCCAGCCACCTGCCTCCTTGCTGTCCCTCTTCACATCACACACTCCTGCCTCAGGGCCTTTGCACTTGCTGTTGGCACCAGCTGGAACACTCTTCCCTCACATAGCTACACTTGGAGGAACACTAACCTCTCTCAAGTCTTTGTCTAATGTCTCCATAACAAGCTCTTTCCACATCCTCCTGATTTGCTGTGGCAACCCCTTCACTTCTGTTTCACCCCCTGCCTCTTCCCTGTTGTATTTTTCCCCAGCACTTTTCACTGTAAAATATAGTAAAGATGTTCAGAACATATTGGTTGAATGAATGAATGAATGAATGACTTAGTATCCATTCTGGTGGTGGTGGTGATGATAAGGATGATGGTCATAATGATGACAGAAATGAAGAAGACGGGGTGAAAATGACAGAAGTGAATTTGACAATGGTGGTGAGGATGGTAATAAGGGCTTGGAGATATGGATGGGATGGTGGAGATCAGGGGGATGGGATGGGTTTGGGGTTGGGATGGAGTGGGAATAGGACTGGAGATGGGGATGTGATGGGGTGGGGGTGGGAATGGTGTGATGGGGGATGGGGGTGGGAATGGTGTGATGGGGGATGGGGGTGGGAATGGTGTGATGGGGGGATGGTGGCAATGGTAGAGATGGGGATGGAAAGGGAATGGGAATGGTAGAGATGATGATGGTGACAGAGATGGGGATGGAAATGGAGAGGGAGGTGATGGTGGGGACGAGGATGAGGACAAAGGTGATGAAAGTGTGTGTACCCCCAGCCCACATTGTGGCTGCTCCATGTCCAGTCATCTCAGCCTTGACCAACTCTTGGCAGGGCAGTCCCACCCTGCTGGAGGGACTCCACCCACTTTCCACCCCCAGCCCTTCCTCCAGCCCATCCTAGGGCTCCCCGCTGTCTCCTGGCCCCGGCGCAGCACTGACCTCCTTGGTCAGAGGTGTCACGTTGGACTTCTCCCGAGAGTACCCAGAGCTGGTCTTGGCCAGGTCCCAGGGCAGGGGATATCCGCCATCGGATACCTCTGGGGGACGGAAACTCTGACTGGTCACTGTCTGGAGATTGTCACAGACTTGTTTCCTGAGGTGGAGCAGGGGTAAGAGCTCTTACCACCAGGGCTACCTGCCTTTGTCCTCTGAAGGCTGCAATGCTTATCTCCAGAAGCTTCCCACCTCCCTCAGACCTCGCACAGATGCCTCAGGGGTCGCCTGCCTTTGGGCCCCCAGGACCTGAGACCTAGAGCAGGCAAGGCTCAGGGTCCCTATGCCTGGAGCCTGGAAGTGGTCCGATGAGCTCCTATGGCCCTGAGAGCCAACTCCAGCAGGACAGGGGGTGAGAAGGGGTGGGGCTGACCGTACCCCATGGCTGGTCCAGGTGGCTCCAGGGTGTCAACCTTGGCTTGGTATGAGACCACAGGCCGGAAATTTGATTGGTAGCCTGTGCCTTTGTGACTGCCCATGCGCGGCCTGAAATCCTCCCTACCTGCCAGAAGGGAAGTGAGCAGACAGGATGGGGGGGTCAGCAGAGTGGGAGAGCAGTGAGGGGGGCTTCCCAAGCACGGTCAGCATCCCCCTTGGGGTCCAGGGGCCCTGTGATGGAGAAGGCACAGAGTCGGGGCAACAGCAAGTGTGACACGAGCTGTGAAACCTGGCCTTTCGGGACTGTGACAACAGGAAATGGAGTCGGCAGGTTGGGGACAGTCAGTATGGCAGAATCATAGGATGGATTAGGTGGAGGGAGCAGTGGGGCGGGGCCAGCCCCATGGTACCGGTGTGGACATGGTCCTTGGGGGCTCAGGGGACCGATCAGCTCAGTGTGCTGAGGTTGCTCCCAGTGTGTGATGGGCTAAGGGGGTGCTCCTCTCCCAGCAGGAGTGCCTCCCCGCTCCTGCCCTGTGTCCTACAGGTGCTTCTGCACAGAGGTGCCCTCACCATAGGCTACGGAGTAGCTGGTGGCATAGAATTTCAGCGGATCCGTGCAGCCGCCTGAACTCATCTTCACATAAGGGGAGACACTTCCCAGGGGGAGTTTCCCCATCATGATGCTGTGGGGCAGGGCCCCGGGGGGCCTAGGAAGGAAGCACAAGGGGCCCCCGTCAGCCCAGCAGCCCTAGGTCCCGAGCCCGCCCCAGGCCCAGGCTGCCGAGACCACAGAGGGGGTGACGGAACCCCACCCAGCCAGCCCCTTCCCCCAGGCCTGTCCCTCTCCACTCACACCCCCACCTCACACTGAAGACAGGACTAGTAATCGTCAACACTTATCTCATGTACACCTGTGTCTCCTTTCACCTTCCCACATCCTGTTATTAATTCCCATTTTACAGCCAGGAAACCGAGGTTCCAAGTGATGAAGGATTAGCTCACAGTAGGTGGTAAACTGTGATTCAGACCCAGGGTATCTGACTCCTGGGCTCCTGATCTAACCCCCCCCACACTCTCCTCTGGGGACTGAATGGCCAGACAACCTCCCCCCAGGGAATTCTTGGCTGTCCCAAGAATTGGGGGATACTCGCTCTCCGTCTCACCCTCGGCTGTCTTGGTCTTGCCCACCTCCCGCTGGGAGTTGGCTCAGCTCTCCTGGAGACCAACAGGCAGCTGGCCCCACCCTCACCTGCCCTCCGCAGTGGCTCTGAGGACGAGCAAGAGGCTGCAGGAGGCAGGAGCTGCTCCGGAGTGGCCTGGGCCCTCTGAGAGGTGGCCAGGCCAGGAGAAACAGTGCATTGCCTAGCAACTGGTGCCTAGCAACAGAGTCCCCACGCCTCTGAAGCCCTTCCAGAGCCAGGGCCCACGGAGGGGCTGACCTGGCCAGGAGTGGGGGGCCAGGAGCTGCTGAGGCAAGGTCCTGCCTCCATGGCTTTGGCCCCCATCGCCGGTCTCCCTCCACAGGGCCCGGCAGAGCTGCCGTCTGAGTGACATCAAATAAACGATAATCCCAAACAATCACTTCCATTCACTGAGGACCCACTTCTCACCAGACGCTTTATATCCTTTATCTCCAGTCCTCTGAGGAGCTCTTCCAGGTAGCTATTATTATCCGTCTTTTCACACGGGGAAAATGAGGCTTAGACAAGCAAAGCGACTTGACTGGCCGGAGATCTCGCAATCAGAAAATAGCAGAGTCGGGATTCGAACGTGGGTGGGTCCCGATGCCACTCTTAGGCCTCTTGGTAAATCGATGTTTACCATGCTCTGCTAGAGCCAGATCTGTGCCAAGCAATTTTACACACGCACTTCATATAATCCCCCAGATCACACTGTGAACTGGGTACTATTATTATAGAGCCAATAAGCCACAGCAGTGAAGAGTGTGGTTCCAACCCGATCCGTCACCTTCGACGAGGTCCCTATCCTCTTTGCCTCATCTTCACCGAGGGCTGTAACCGGACTGCCTTGTAGAGCTGCCGGCAGATTTAACGAGAGGGTGAATTCAGCACCTGGCAGATAGTTGATGCTCAATTTATTTTTATTTTTATTTTTTTTTTTTTGCTGATGAAGATTCACCCTGAGCTAACATCTGTGCCAATCTTTTATTTTTTATGTGGATCACCACCACAGCATGGCCACCTACGAGTGGTGTGGTTCCATGTCCAGAAACTGAACCCAGGCTGCCAAAGCAGAGTGCCGTGAGCTTAACCACTAGGCCATGGGGCTGGCCCCCTCAAGATGCTCAATTTTTAAAAGCTGCTATTCTTAGCCTTATTTTCGAGATGGTAAAGGTGAAGCCTAAAGACAGATTACCCAGGCCTCACAGGCGGTGGAGGCAGAGACTGGCTTAAGACAGGAGTGAACCAACTCCACAGTCACTGCTCCTGCCTCCTCTGAAGCCCATTCACCTCGCCTTGACTTGAAGGCTTGTAAACGTGTAACAGTCGTGTCTCTGGGGAGGAGGAGGTGAGGTGGGGTAGCGAGGAGCCCCGATTTGCAGCGTTTGCCAATTTCCGTGGTGTAAATACTCTCATCACGGCTGCTTTCAGACCACTAACGCCACGTCGCTGAACGGGGAGTCGGGCAGACATGCTCTGTAGCCACCCTCCACTGAGGAGCTCCCAGTCTAATGACAGAGGCTCGCGTGAGCTCCACCCACGAGCCGCAAGATAGGGTGAGACCACCAAAGGTGGGGGCTCACCCAGGGCGAAGGGAGGGAGTGGCCCTTCTCAAAGGGTGCATAGAGAAGTGGTTACAAGCAAGAGCTCAGACTCTGAAGCCAGACAGCAGAGGCCCTGGCCCTGCCACTTGATAACCTAAGACTTGGTGCATGTTCCTTGTGCCTCAGTTTCCCCTTCTGGATAACGGGGGTAATCATGGCACCTCCCTGTGGGGTTGTAGTACACACAAAGCCCTTAGCCGGCACCTGGCATGCTTTGACTGTGAGCGCCAACAAAGAGTTAGGGAAAGGCCCAGGCAGAGGTTTGGGCCCCTGGGTTATGGCCCTTGAATTTCTCACGGCCCTGCCCTCAGGGAGCCCACAGTCTTCTGGGGTCTCAGACACAGCCAGTGTGATGTAGCCAAAGAAAGCTCAGTTTAGGAGGCTGGCAGGTCTGATCCCAGAAGCTGCTTCTGCCACTGGCTTGCTGTGCGAGTCTGGGCCTCGCCTCCCTGAGCCTGTTCCTGCACCTGTAAGCTGGGGACACAGTGCCCACCTGGTAGGTCGCTGGTGGATTTGGAATACCCCATGCACAGTGTCTAGGCGGAGATGAGGGAGGGTGCACCACGTGGAAGGCTCTGCAAGGGCAAAGGTGGGAGAGCCTGGCGCCCTGGTGGCGGTGACTGTGGCTGGAGCACTGCATGGGGAGGAGGAGCTCAGCTAGAAGCTGTGGCCAGGTTTTCCATTTAGCACTTGGTGGGGGAAGAGCAGGTGGGAGAAAGGTTTGAAATCCTCCCCGTAGGGCTGCGAGGGAAGCTCTTGAGCTGGTGGAGCAGCCGGAAGACTTGGGTAGGACTCCCGGGAGGCGGCCGCTCTCCGAGTCTGAACTCCCTTTAGGGCCGGCAGCGGCGGTCCTCCAAGTGGCCTCTGGTTTTTTGCTGTGTGGCGACACCCAGCGGCCATACCGCGCAACTGCAGGAGATGCTGCCGGTGCTGCTCTCCGCAGTCTGGGGGGCTCCTGGAGGGGTGCAGGGAGGCGGCAGAGCAGCTAGATGGCCCCAGCCACAAGCCACCCAGACTTATTCACCCCCGGGCTCTCCAGAACAGAAGGTGCCGGCTTCGCACGGAGTGCTCTGGGAGGGCGGGGGCCCGGAGCCCGCAAGGAGCAGGAGGCCTGGGGATGCTCGCCTGGCACTGGTCCCAGTGACAGCCGAATTGCTGCGTGACTTTTGGACCTCTCACCTCTGGGCCTCAGTTTTTCTATCTGTGAAATGAAGCAACAGACTAAACAACGCTTCCAGATTTTAAGTTGGAAATCCTGGGCCCACCTCAGCCCATCTTCTCATTTATTAAGCACTTCTGCCCAGGCTCAGAGCTAGGAGTCACCCCATCCCTTTTCACTCCAGCCCCACAAGACAGAAACTATTTTTATCTCCGTTTTACATATGGGGGACCTGCCCGAGGCATCACAGGCAGGAAGGGATGGAGCCAGCTCTGACTCCTGAGTCGGCGCCAAGCCTGCTGGAAACTGCCAGCAAATCTGCTGTCAAGAGCTGGGACTGGAGCAGTGGGCTCTGACACCACGCGGTCGAGCTCAGTCATTTCCAAAGGGATGGACTGCCCTGGCCCGATGGTGACTTCTTTCCCCTTTCTAGAGCTGCCCAGCCTGAGCAGTAAGATTCGTTCTCGTCTCCCCCCTGTGAGAAGTCAGGGCTTCAGACACGTGGAGCTGGCCCTGGATGCCAGCAGCTGCCTCCCCACTGAGGCCTGGAAGGTTGAGTCTCAGAAACCAGCAAGAGGACATTTTGGGGCCCTGGCCCATGGAAGTCCTTAGCTGGGACCAACGGGAGCAGGCCCTGACAGGTGTCCGAGGCCAGTGTGCACCACCCTTTGACTGCTGACTCCCGAATGGGGACAGATGTCTGTACTCTGTGCTCTGGGCTGCGTGAGCTTCAGGTCCCCAAAGGAGCATGAACTTGGGCAAACGAGTCAGCACATCACCAAGCATGTGTCGTTCTGTCTTGGTTGACATGTGTCTTCAGGGCTGGCCTCAGGGGGCAGGGCCAGGCTCTTGTCAGGAAGAGATGTGTTAAAGGAGGGAAAAGCTGCTTAACACACCCAACCTTTTGACAGAAGACCATGCTGCCCGGCGGGGGGAGTGAGTTCTCCGCCTGGGGAGGCATTCAAGCAGCAGTTTGAATTTGCTTGGATCTGGATGACAACGACAGCAGGCTCTCACTCAGGGTTTATGAGGTACCAGGCACTGTTCTGAGTGCTTCCCATGTAATACTACATTTAAATGTCACCACTGTGAGGGGTGTTCCTGTGTGGTGGGTGGTATCAGCAACTCTGTTTTATAGATGAAGAAACTGAGACACAGAGAGGCTCCGCAACTTGTCCAGGGTCGCACAGCTAATAAAGGGGGAGGTTCTTCTTTGAATCCAGGCAGGCTAGCTCCAAAGGTCACGCTGGCGACCACTTCGATATTACCTTATGGATTGAGCTAGAAGCTCTTCAAGTTATTTTCTCTCTCTCTCTTTTTTTCTGGTGAGGAAGATTGGCCCTGGGCTAACATCAGTTGCAATCTTCATCTTTTTTTTTTTTCTCCCCAAAGCCCCAGCACATAGTTGTATATCCTAGTTGTGAGTCCTTCCATGTGGGACGCCGCCACGGCATGGCTTGATGACCTGTGTGTACGTCCGTGCTCAGGGTCCAAACCAGTGAAGCCCGGGCTGCCGAAGTGGAGCGTGCAAACTTAACCACTCGGCCACCACAGGCCAGCCCCTCCTCAAGCTATTTGCAAAATCTGACCTTCGATGACAGTTTTTAAGACCCTTTTAAAAGACTCCTCCCTCCCATGCTCAGCTGTCTCCTGCACCCAGCCCCTTGGTCTGCACTGGCCGCTGCTAGGTGAAAATCCACCAAAGAGGGGTTGACAACTGTCCAAATCATCAAGATGAGCAAGAATTGGGAAGCAGTCCGCTAGGACATAGCTGAGGAAACTGAGTCCTCGCAGAGCAGGGACGTCTGAATTTGACGGCGCTGGGAACCTCACGTAAATGGAATCAGACTGCATTTGTCCTTTCGTGTCTGGTTTATTTCACTTAGCATAACGTCCTCAAGATTCATCTGCCTGGTAGCATGTGTCGGAATTTTGTTCGTCTTTAAGGCTGAATAGTATTCCATTGCATCTATAACCACATGTCGTTATCCAATCCTCTGTAGACGGACATTTGGGCTCTTTCTACCTTTTGGTTATTGGGAATGATGCTAATGTGAACTTGGGTGTACAAATATCTCTTTGAATCATTGCTTTCAAGTCTTTGGGGTATAGACCCCGAGTGGAATTGCTGGATCATATCACACTCATACTTTTGAAGTCCCTGGGCTGGAGGCTGGGGCAGGCACGAAGGGTAGTGTTTCCTGGCTTCAGATGGGCCTCGAGGCAAGAGGGTGCTAGAGGAGAGATCAGATCAGGTGTCACTCCCAAGAAAGCCCCGGGCTGAGCCCTTTTTGGTGTAAGAGGAAGAGGCAGGGGTGCTAATGCCTTGGAGGAGCTGAGGTCACATCTCTGCTCCTTCTGGAGCCTCTTCTAGACTTGGCTTTGAGGTGTGGCTCTGACACAA